ACACTCTAAAGCCAAGGCCTAAACCGCGAGGGTGGGTCCCTTCTTATGGCTCCAGAGGGAGCAGAAGAGGGCACGAGCTACGAGGAATAGGGAAGTCAAGTGGCAATGAGGAGGAAAAAAAGGAAACCTCAAAAAAGTGAAACTCATCAGGTTTAGAGAGGCCTCACCCCAACTTCCCAGCTACCACCACCCTGGCTTCCCAGTAAACTCCAGGCTGGGGAAGGAGCGGTTAAGACAGAGAGAGGGGAGGAGCGGGGAGAGCTCGCCTGCTTCTTCTCCAGTCCTCCCACTAGTGAGCCCACTGGTAGGAAGGCTGACTCCTCCAGAAGGTGGACAAAGGAAAGCGCTAATCCACCAGGTGAGCAGTGCCAAGAGTCCAGGAGCTGTGTCACCTATTTCTGTCCAGGATCCAACTCCAGGGCAAGTTTAAGGGAGGAAGAAGGATGAAGGAAAACACCAACTGGGGGGGCAGGGCCCCCCACCCGCCTGTACCTGGGCAGCAGCTTGATAGGCCGCTTACCTATTGCTACGGCAGCCAATGAGATGGGATGAGAGAAATGACGCCAGCAAGAAGAGGAGAGTGACAGCAAGGAGAGAGAGGGTTAGACACACAACACACCAGGAAGGGCAGCACACACCAGGAGATGGAAGCAGACAAGACAGGCAAGGGGAGGCGAGCTCAGCAGCACATGCAAAGCGGCAGGTCCCTGCACTCAATCAGGCCCACCCAGGGGACAGGAAGATTCAGGCAGGCCAAGCATCACCACAAGTCTAGCTCAGCCACAGAGGCCAGGCCAAGCCAACCTATCAGGCAGGAAGCCATGAAGCCAGGGGCACTGTAATAGGCCCATGCTATTTATCTCAAGCTCTTCGAGGAAGAAAAACAACAGCAGAACCAGAGGAGCCTAATCTCATTAGAGCTGCTAAGGCAAGGACAGGTCTCTTGGTCAGTAAAGAAAGATGGCATGCAGGGTGGGGCAGAATGAGAAGGCTGTGTGGCTCCTTGTTGGTCTGAGGGACCAAGGACATAGAGCTGTCGAGGTCTACTCAGAGGGTCCAGAAAGGGCTGTGTGACCTCCCTGCTTTTCCGTTAGTGACCCAGAGTGCCTCAGGCTTGCTCACAACCTCTCCTCCAGGAGTGACCCAGAGGAACTGAAAATAGCTGAGTCAGCAGCCTGCCTCCTGGGAAAGGGAGTGGAAGAGGATTTGGCAGTATGGAGAGGCTTTCAAGAGAACACAGAAAAAGCCCTCGATAGGAGAGGGCTTTGAGAACAGGACTCAGATGGATTACTACCTCCAGCCTGGCAATAACTCCACCCGCTGGAGGCAGAGCTCTTCTAAAAGGAGTAATAAACCTGCCTGGCAAAAGCACTCATCTCCAGCAGCCAGGCCTACAACTAAGGGACACAGGAGGCAGGAGCTCCTAAGGCTGCGGGGGCCCTGCCAGGCAGCCAGCAACCGGCTGCTAGGCCAATGCCACCAAACTTAAAGAGAACCAGGCTCTACTGGCTGAGCTTCCAGGATGCAGCAAGGGGTGTGGCCCAAGTCAAGGCTCTGATGGAATAAAACCTGGTCCCGCATGCTGAGGCTGGGGTGATGGGGCACAGCTGGCTCAGCCAAGGGACTTACCCGATGTCATCTCGGTAGACCCGGGAGATGAGCACCTCCCCCTTGTGATTATAGATGAATAAGCCTCCAATCATGGCGGCAGCTCAGTCTCCACGGCCCATTGCTCTAAGAAGAGACCTAGGACAGGCAGGGGAGGAAAGGGAAGACTTCACAAGTCCTGCCAATGTCCACAGGAGGGCGGTGCGGGTCACTGCCCCCCACCTTTAGCAAGTGACCCCGAGGCCTCTCAGACAAGCCCCTCCCTTCAGCCAGGCTCCAGTTCCTGTTTATCCCACGCTAGATGGGAGAAAGGAACAGGACTCGGGCCCAGCATTCTAAGGCACTTTGACCCTCCCGTTTCTGGGGCTGAGCCAGAGACTAACTCCCCTCCCGCCGCCTCTTCACAGCGCTGAGCTAAGCAAGGATCCTTCTCGGCCCCCTCCTGTGCAGACTCTCACTCGGGCTCCAGCCAGTGAGTCACTGACAAGGCCCGCCTGAGGCTGTAGGAATGGCGGTAGGAATTACTCCAGCTGGCTCAGGCCCGGGGCCCCTGGGCACAACCTTTAGATCACTCAGTCTTGGTTCCACTCCCCTTCTACGAAGGCAGGCAGGGCCTGAATCTCCAGAAGTCTACACATTCTAAGAATGGGTGTGCAGCTTTTGGGGCTGGAGGAAGAGAACGGAGGCTCTGGGCCCTGACACAGACCCAGGAGTGTGGCCTCAGCAGGTACATATCACATTATCTTCCGGGCAAGGAAGGTAGCAAAGGAGAAAGGTCCCAGCGCTGGCAAACCACACTTCAGTGATCCACATTGCTTACTATGGTTATTTCTGATCACCCCCTTTCAGAAAGCTTTGGAGTGCGATAAAATAAGGAAGGGTGTGTGTACAAGTTTGTAAAATTACAAGACCCTTCTGATTCTAGACCCACGAAGTAACTCACTTCTCACCTGAGTATCTACGAGCAAGGGGTGTCTGATTGCATTAATTACCCAAAGTATTTGGGTCAAACTAATTTAGACAGTTTAAGAAGAGAAAAGGGGGTTAATTTGATTCTAGATTTCCTGGATTAGCCCGAGTATTCATTTCACAGAGGGTAGTTCAGTGGACTTCTAAACTGAAAAATTAAGCCTTCCACTATAGCTGTTACTGTCACCTAGACCACTGTAAGGTCTCTGAAGGAGGTGGGAACACTTCTTCTTCATTCCCAAAGAAATTGGAAGATAAAATGCAAAATGGAGGTAGAGTTCCAGGCAAAGAACCAAGTGCCCGGGTATCAAATGGTGGAAGCTCGGGGCCGGGGCACCAGAAGTGGGCTCCTAGGCAGGAATGGAGCACTTCGCTAAAGGAAGAGACTGGCAGCCACCAGCAAGCAGCATCCTTAGTGCGCCCACAGCAGCAAACAGGGCTGGTGGAAACCCCTAAAGAAGGAGATTCCGGTGTAGCAGAGGTCAGGGCTTGGACAGAGGAAACAGGCAGGAGAGACGGCCGGTGGTACATATGGGAAAGCGAGGGGCATGGGGCCTTGCTTTGGGGTTCGGGTACACAGGCACGACGTGGGGTGCTCCTTGCCCGGGGGAGGAGACAGTGCCATAGGGTACGGGAGCTGTCACAGGTCAGAGAAGAGCCGCGGGGGGTCGCTGAACTGGGGGAGGGGAGTGGCGCACGGAGAGGCCTGTCACCGTTCACGGGGGTGGCACGAAGGATGTCAGTCTTGCGAGATGGGGGAATTGTCCCTGCGCCGAACAGGACGCGCCGAGGGCCGGGGGTTGTCACGATCCCTGGGAGGGGGCGACGCGCCGTGTCTCCGAGAAGACTCCGATCGGTCTCGCCCTCACAGGAGCCCGGCAGGTCAAGTGGAGGGCGCCGCTCCCCGCCCGTCTCGCAACCGCGCCCCGGGCGCCCCCACCCTGCCGGCAGCTCCCTCCAGAGTCTGAAGGCTGAGGCCACTCCCGGGTGTGGGCAGCTTTCCGCCCAGCCGCGCAGGGCCGGGAAAGACTGGGCAGCGGGGCAAACGACCCGCGGCGTTTCCCCTACCCGGTAAGATCGACTCCCCAGCTCACCTGGCGTCCGCGTCCGCGGCCCCCTACTCAGACGGCCCAGCCACTCTCCAGATCCCAAGATGTCCGCCCGCCCCCAGCTCGCCTGCCCGCTGCCTCGGCTTTCACTGCAGTGCCGCGGCCCCGCCCCGGCCCCAGCTGCGCTTGCGCGCCCGCCTCCCGCGTTCGACTACAAGTCCCGTCAGGCTCTGCGGCCTTCTCGCTGACAACTGAAGGCTCCAGGCTTATAAAACTACAACTACCAACGGCACTAGGGAGAGAGGGCCCCCCAACTTCCGGGGACGAGAACTTCGGCGCCCCACCAGAAATACTCCACACATTCCGTTTCTTCAAGGAGCATCCCGGGTATTGTAGTCTTTTTGTCTTTGTTGAATTTAATTTTGGAATGCTATTGGCCTTTCCTGTCCCCAGTCTGAAAAGTGGCTTCTTCACCCTTCACCTTTCAATCTCAATCTCTCTATCTCTGTCACACACACACGACAGAGGTGTGATTCTTCCCAGTTTTTCCCCATATATTTCTTTCAGACATATGCCTTTCCCCAAGGATCAAGACCCAAGGAGGAGGCAGGAAGGGAGGAGGCACTTTTTTTCTTGTCTTTTGGGACAGAGTGTCACTATGCAGTTTAGGCTGACCTTGAACTATGTAGCCCAGGGTGCCCTCAAACTCGTGGCGATCCTCCTGCCTCAGTGACCCTAGTGCTGGGATTGCGGTCATCAGCCACCACACCCTGTGGAGACACATTCTTGGAAGAAACAGCTAAAGCCTTTCATGACTGTGTCAGTGCTCTCAGCTATACCAGTGACTGTGTGCACCTTCTATAGGCAAATGTTTCTTAGAAAATGGTTAGTCAGGTGAATTTTGTTGGACATGAGATTCAAAATCCTCTCTCTGATGAACAGAATTAATCGTTGCATTGCAGCTAAGAAGAGGCAGATTAAACCCATGAACATGAAAGGCTACCTGGTTCTTGGAGGATCTGAAGAAAATATGTTGTCTTTTTTCTTTCTGTATGCGGCAATATCCTGCTGCCTTCACTTAATAGGTTTAAGACTGTCATGCCAAGAAGGGCAAATCTGTTTATGAACCTTTTGATCCCTACCAGGCTTCTAACCAGAAGCCAGGACGTAGCAGGAGGAAGATCTGTCCTCTCTCAATCTGTTGTCATCCTGATACCGTGAGGTGACTGAAAATAGGCACTTCTACACCATGAACCAGCATTCAAGGCTTCAATTGCACTTTTGCAAAAGCTTTATCTTCCAAACCAGCACTCAAGGCTTCAATCATACTTCTGCAAAAGCTTTATCTTCCAAACACCTTAAATGACTGTAGAGTAAGTAATAATGGCTACCATTTATTGAGCACCTACTCTATTGTGCCAGGCACTGTGCTAGGCACTTTTCGTACAATATCTAATTTAAATCCTCACAACAACCCTGTGAGGTAGGTATTATTATCATCTTTTTACATACAAGAGGACTGAGGCTCAGAGAGGTTAAATAACTCTCCTATCACGAAAACAAAAAGTAGTAGAGCTGGAATTCAAACCCAGACCAACCTGACTCCAAATCTCATGCTCTGGCAAATTAGAGGCAAAGGAGAAAGAAGGGCCAAATGTGAGAAGATTGCTGGAGTGGAAAAGATGAAATATGCTAGTAAGACATAGAAAGAATTTAAGCCCCTAAATGTGTCTACTGGGGAACCTGTAGAGATTGTGATGAAGGTCACCGGGACAGGGATTCAGGAGGAACACTGGTTTGGGGCATGAGCTGAGTCCACGTGGACATCTCCATGGAGATATCCAGTGGGTAATACAAATACAGGTCTAAAGACTTGAGGATGTTGGGGCTGGAGCTATATATGGCAATTACCAGCGTAGCAGCAGCAATTGAGGACATTAGGATGGGTGACATTTTGGGAGTAGGGAGGAGAGACGTGGATCAAAGATGGAACAACAGAAATACAAACCCCAAAGGCATGAATGAAGTAGAGGAATTCCCAAGAGTCTCTGCCTTAGACAAGGCAGTCAGAGAGGAAAGTACAGGAGGTGGCCCTGTAGTGGTGGCTGGAAGCAGCCATGGCCTGGGTTGGGGAGGAAACCCAGGCAGGCAGGACTGAATCATCATTCCAACACAGCCCCTTGTTCACTAAAACCTCAGGAAATATTTCTGAATAAATGCTGAAATGAATGAATGCTGAACTGCCCCTACTTCAGTTTGCCCCCAGACCCATCTAGGGACTCCATCTTACTCTCAGTGTCCTAACCCTGAAAATATGGGAGTTTAGTGTGGAGGCTTAGAGAGAACATCATGATTTGGTTAAAGTGGAGAATGAGGTTAAAAGAAAAAGCAAAAACAAATGAAAGAAACCAAACTAGAACTCTGGAAGCCTCAGAAGTCCTTTTGCCTAACTGCACCTGGCCCATGGCTCCCGTCCTTGTTTCTGGGCGTGGCAGTGTGAAAACTGGGAAGGATGGGGCGGGGTGAGAACGACCTGTAGTCACCTGCAGGGTTCTCTGCTGAGCCCAGCCTGAGATCCAGCTTATGGGTTTATCCAGGTAGGAAGATACTGGGGACATGTGGGGGAGGCTTGAGGGCTATGAGGAAAGTGGAGGGAAGTCAGGGGACCAGCCCCACTGTCTAGAGAGGGTCCAGCCCTCTGTGCAGGGACCAGCCCTGAGGCTTAAGTGAACTTGCATAGGCACACGTGTGCTTCTGCGCACGCGTGTGTGATTGATTTTCTCTGGAAACAAGGTCTCCTGTGCCTGGGTGAAGCCAGAGCCCTCCCCCACAAGCCTAGGGACGCTGAAGTGTGGGTGTGGGGCTGGACATCCTTGGGAAGCCCGAGGGGCGGCTGAAGCAGGGTTCCTGGTCTCCTCGGAGGCTGAGCCTCCCATTGCTGGGGACTCACAGAAAGTCAAACAGCCCGAAATTCTTGGCTGCTCCAGGCCCAGGGAAAATAGGGGAAGGAAAAAAAGAAAGAGAAGAAATGTTTCAGGCCCAAGGTAAGATGAGCCTGCCGGTTAGTAGGGTTAGGGTCTGATAGAACCAACACACAGGCAGGCATGGGCAGGGGTCCAGCAGAGATGCTCCCTGAAAGGCAGGAGCAGCTCAAGCACCCAAGGGGACTCTCTGGGATCGGCAGCATGGACGGCCACAGCAGGGGCTACGGCCCTGGGGTGCAGGACTGAGGCAGCAGGCAGGATACAGGGAGGGCAGATGCAGGGACTTATTTCGGTGTCAGTACTACGGGGCAATCGAGAGGTTTACTCATGCTTGAGGGGTGGGCTTAATGCAGGGACAGTGTGGCTGAATGAATAGCGATAGGGCACTGAGGGGCCAAGGGGGCAAGCACCCCTGGGGCGAGCTCCGAAATGTGTGAGGGTGGGCAGACCAGAGTAAGCACCAGCAAGTCCGGACCCACGCTCAAGTCCTGGTAAGCCCCGCACAGCGTTAGTGGGCCGAGGGCGAAGCTGGGCCAGAGGCAGGTTAGGGGCTGCACGGCGCCCTCGCTGAGCCCAGCGAGCAGTTAGCGCGCCTGGGTTTAGTTCCATTTATTTCCCTTTCAGGTACCAGACAAAGTAAAAAAAGGCGGGTGGGCGGACGGACTGACGGACAGAGAGGGAGCGGCGGTGGGTCGGGGTCGGGTGGGACGGCAGTTGGCAGGGCCTCGCTCACATCACATCCACAAAGAACTCACTGGGGTTTCCCATGGCCATGCGGAAGGACTGTCTGCTGGCGGTCAGTTCGGGGGGCACGGAGGCCAGGTCGCGGCCCGGAGGGGCTCCCGGGGGCCCCATGGCTGCGGGCGGCGGGGGCATCATGAGCACCGGGGGGCCGTAGAGCGGGGGCACGCC